CACAGTTTATTTATATCACCCTCACCCCACTTGTGTGTGAGATAAATGTTGTGTGTGTGTGTGTGTGTGTGTGTGTGTGTGTGTGTGTGTGTGTGTGTGTGTGTGTGTGTGTGTGTGTGTGTGTGTGTGTGTGTGTGTGTGTGTGTGCGCGTGTGCGTGCATGTGTGTGTGGGTGGGTGGCTGAGAAAACATGGAGAGTACTTTCCTGTGAGATCTGAGTAAAATAAACTGTAACACTTACAGTATATGTATGTACTGTATGTGCATACACAACATAAAATATCCTAAATGTAGAACAAAGGAGACCAGAACTGGACTAACAATCATCATACTCTATGGAATCAAATGTGACACCATTTGACTGATAATGTTGCTCAGGTGTTTGTGCTAATTGTATTTAAAGGACATTGAGAAGGAACTGCCTTTGGCATTTTCTTCTTACCGTAACTCTTCAATGCAGTTGTTTTTTTAACAGAAGTAATATCAAACCTTTTGATGTAACTCAGATGTATTTAGTTGTGAGTTGTCTTGCTGCTGTCTCTTTTTAAATACACTTGCCTTGCCTTAACTCCATTGGGGGAAATATGGGGGAAATATATAAGTGCCAAACCCTTACTGTCAAGATGATATGATCACCATTTATCTGTCATGATAAAGAGTTATCTTAACTTCAATAACTTGTCTGGCCTGATGGAACAGTTACCGAACCCTTTAAACAATATGAGGGATTGCAGTGATAGGTGTAGAATAGCATCGGAGGATGAAAGCCTCTTTATGGTCACACATACATGGATTCATAGAATAATAAGAACATATCTTCATGTATGTCATGTTTGAAAGAAAACACATTTCCAACATAGGAGGCGGAAAAATAGGTTTTCTTCCAACCTGTTTTAATTGACCTATTCATTTCGGTCACAGTGCAGACACATTAAATTCCCTCTCTCCAGCCTGGCCATCCTTAACACCAATTATTCAGTCGCTTCTCTCCTCACCTTTTATTCATTCACTCATTTCTTTATTGTATTCACGTCAATGTCCCTATTATTCCTTTTTGTGTTCCACTCAACCCCAACACATTTTAAAGTACACATCCTTTCCCCTCCATCTTTACACCAAGAAAGGCCCATTCATGACTGCCTTTCATCCTGTGTGATAGACTGCTGATAGTCCTTTATGTCTATGAGGGTTTTGGATAACAGTAAGTGAACAGTGTAATAAACTCAGGACACTCGTGGGTAAATGGCACCTTGTAGATTACTGACACATACACCTCTCAAGGTGACGGACAGGTGGAAGGATGGGGGAGCGGATAACAGATTGTGAGATAAAAAACCTCTTCGCCCTGGTGATTTGAGTCACAGGGTGCTTATCTGTCAGCAAGTATCAGAGAGAGCACAAGCAGAGGCTGAGTGTGTATGTGCTTATGTTTACACCTGCATACACAAACGTACTGTGAGTGTATATATATACTTGTTTGTGTATTCATGTCTCTGTCTGCTGATCCCCTTACTTTCCTAGATTCTTCCTCCAGCCTCGGTATCAGAGAGGCATCTAAGAAGCGTCCCAGAGCGCCGAGGAAGCTGTCTAGATTGAATTTCAAATCAATGTTACACAAGTTGTGTTCTAGCCTCAGCTATTTTCAACACACAGGGTGAGGCTCTGCCAGGGAGGGAGAGGCGAGGGATCTGCATGTGTGGGAAGTAGTATAGGCCAAATCATTATATTAATGCTGGGAAAAAAGCCTGGGCTTGAATAAGACGAATGATGGCCTAAGTCGGTGCTTCAATTTAAAAGTTATTAAATACTCAAGAGCTGGGGGAGAGCGTGGAATTGATATGAAGTCTGAGGAAGATTATCAGCTCTCCGCTGCACCGAGTATTCAGCATGTAAGTATAGAGGTGCGAATGTCTATTGATTGATCTTCTATCAGAGCAGGATGCCCTTGAGAGTCATGGAGCTTCTTTAATGATGTGCATACAAGATGTGAGGCAATCAAGTTACAGTGTAAAATGTAAACATGTAAGACCATGCTAAAGGAAATGCACCATTTCCATACATGTTGGATTTCTTTTTCATAGAACTGCATGATATAACCAGAGACCTGTAACGCGTGTTTGGTTGCAGTAGATGTATATAGGAGTATTAAACAGTATGAAGAGATAACAACATTGAGCTTTAACAAAGGAGCTAGTTTCCTTTGTGTACCCAAAGAAAACCCCTCAAATCAACGTATGGCAAGAGGTAAAGTGTTTACTAATATTTTTTTTTTTATTGAGTCAGGCACAATGAGTTTACATTTATACAGTCAATATATATATATTTTTTTCCTTTCCCCCCCTCCCGGTCCTAGCTAGTAAATTAAATAACTAACTAAATAAATAGATACATGTATAGGTAAAAGTAAAGTAATGTAGAAGATAATATTAAAAGAAAATTAATAGATAAGGAAATAAAGAATAGTAATAGTAATACATGTACCCATATACTCACA